TCAGGGAAGTCCTACATCTCAACTTTGGGTGAGAGGTGGTACTGGGGATTGAATCCAGGGCCTTCACATTGTACTACATCTCCAGTTCCAAGGTCTCACTAAATTGCACAGGCTGGGTTTGAACTTGTGATCTTCCTGCCTCAGCCTCCCAGAGCGCTAGGATTACAGGTATGCACCACTACACCCGGGCATACATCCTGATTTGCCACTGGATGGCCTACAGTTTCATCTGAAATTTTCTTTGTGTCTTAAGCTCTTTTCTACTGCCATGCACGCTATAAGGTTCTATATTCCTTAGGGTTCCTACTTGTGCATTAGTCTTCCTCCTCCTGGACAGCCCCCACCGAAAGTCCTTCCTAAGGCCATTTTCAATTCTACAATCCTCTGCTCATTTGAACGGACACGCATCAGACAAGTTTAGCACACAACCATTTGAGATTTGAGGTCTTAATACACAATTCAGCCACAAGATGGTACTCCAGCTGGCCATGACATCCCAGCTCCCTGAGGACACGTTTGGTGGACTTTTAGCACTGTTCTTGTGTAGCAGCTCCTTTGGGGGCACTGTGAAAGAACAGTTCTTAGTTTGGCCTGCTTAAATGACTTCCAATCAACACTGTGATCAACATGCAAGAGGAAGTCCAGAACAGGAAGAAATGATTTGCTAGGTATTAATAATCCATTAATTTCTCAGATATAATAATGTTAGTGTGATTATGTCTTAAAAAATCAGTATTTCTAAGAGATGTACATTCATTCTGGAAAATATAATTTTCCAAATTTTCTTAAAGATGGATGTGGTAGCTATTCTGGGAGGGTGAGAAAGGAGGAGCAAAAGCTTGAGCCCAGCCTGGGCAACTGAGGAAAACTGTTTCAGAATAAAGAAGGGCTAGGGGGTTAAAAAAAAAAAAAGGAGAGAGAGAAGAAGGGCTAGGCGGTGTAGCTCAGTGTGAAGGCCATGATTTCAATTTCCAGTACCACTAAAAAGGCAGGGTGAGGGGTGGGGGGACGAAGAAACGGACCTAGAGATGAACCAGAGAGGTCATTAGCTGATAACTGTTGAAAGTAGGTAACTAATACATTAAGTGATTACACTAGGGGTTGGCGGCTGTGGTAGTGGAGCCCCAGCGGTGGGGCTAGGCTGGGGTGGGCTGGCCTATTACCGGTAACCCGCCTGGTGCTGCCAGATTTAAGCCTTCTTGCCTTGTGAAGAAAACTGCAGAAGTGGGGTCAGGGACATAGCTCAGTGGTGCAGCCCCTACCTGGCAAGCATGAGGCCTTGAGTTCAATTCTCAGTACCAAAAAAGAAAAAAGAAAATGGCAGAAGCACCACCAGAGCTTTCTGAAGGGCAGCTTGTTGTACACTCAGACACTCACAGTGACACTGTCCTAGCCAGTTTTGAGGATCAAAGAAAGAAAGGCTTTCTCTGTGACATTACTTTAATTGTGGAGAATGTGCATTTCTGGGCCCACAAAGCCTTACTTGCTGCCAGTAGGGAGCGACCCTTCAAGTGTAATGAGTGTGGAAAAGGCTTTGCCCAAAAGGACTCCTTGCAGGTCCACACCAGGATGCACACAGGCGAGCAGCCGTACACCTGCACCGTGTGTAGCAAGGCTCTGACCACCAAGCACTCGCTGCTGAAGCTCATGAACCTGCACTCAGGACAGAAATCTTTTACCTGTGATCAGTGTGGAAAATATTTCAGCCAAAAAAGACAACTAAAGAGCCATTACCGAGTTCATACAGGGAAGTGCTTTAACACAAATTACTGAACAAATGCAGAGAGAACATACATGCACTGACATTTTTTTTATTGTTGCGACAAGGCCACTCATTACCAGAAAGTAACCACTGCCATAGAAAATTCATGGATGTGTCTCAGCTAAACAAACACCTCCGAACACACAGATGAAAAGCCATTTACTTGTGAAATTTGTGGCAAATCTTTCACAGCAAAGAGTTCTCTTCAGACCCACATCAGAATTCATAGAGGAGAAAAGCCATACTCCTGCAGGATATGTGGCAAGTCCTTTTCTGACTCCAGTGCCAAGAGGAGACACTGCATTCTCCACACCAGCAAAAAGCCTTTCTCCTGCTTGGGGTGTAACTTAGTTTGCTCGCTTAGACAACTTGAAGGCTCACCTGAAAATCCACACACCAGAAGCCAGCATACACCAGAAGCCAGCAGCATTTCCAGCAGTAGTAATGCCGAAGAGATCAGGAATATTCTTCAGCACACACCAGAAGCCAGCAGCATTTCCAGCAGTAGCAATGCCGAAGGGATCAGGAATATTCTTCAGCTACAGCCCTACCAGCTCTCTGCTTTGGGAGAGCAGGAGATTCAGCTTCTCATGACCGATTCTGTATGCAACATCAATTTTATGCTGGGTCCTAGCCAGGGCATCAGCATTGTGGCTGCTGAGAGCTCCCAGAACATGACGGAAGACCAGGCTGCTAATCTCACTCTGCTCATGAAGCAGCCAGAGCAACTGCTGAATTTGTTTCAGCTCAGCAGGAGTAAACCAAACACATTAGGTCTCAACATGATTGAAAGGCAGATGGAACCTTCCCTGACGGAGCCGGTACACATAATCACGCTGTCCAAGGAAAATCTGGAGCATCTTCACGCCCATTAAGAGCAAAGAGGAGGGCTCCACTTAGCAGCAAGTGCTTCAGACCCTGCTCAGCACCTGGAGCTGATGCAGGAGCCCAAGTTGCCACCACCCGCTCACCATGGGCCCCGGCCCCCACCACTTGGCCAGGAGCAGAGCTGACCTGTGCGAGTGTTGACTGCTCCCCGGGCCCTGCCCATAAGCCAGCTCTAACCAGGTGGGAAAGGCACCCTGTCTGAGATGCCAGATTACAGATCTCTGCAGAGACGTGCTGGCCAAAAGATAGATATAACTCGCTATATCTAGGCAAGGGTATGTGTGTCTGAGCTATAGTACTGATTTGTATTTAGCACTTCAATATCGATGAATGCTTTTCATCTACTATGTCTCTTAAAGACTGGGGGAGTTTTTCTTTGGGGTCATTGATTTAGTTTTCTGTAAGTATTTAATGTTCGCAGCCATATGTGTACTCTTGCTGACCTAGGTATATTTTTAATTTTTGGGGGGCAGAGGAAGTCATGTACGTTGTATTGGATAGAGTTCCCCTTCTTTCTCTGAAGCAACACAATTGCCAGTGCAGACAAGTCTGAGCTGAGTTTAGGAAATGTGTCTTTTAAATAACTTCCAGTCCCCTAGGACAGAGCAACTTGACATTTAATCTTCGTGGGGCACCACAGAGTAATTGTGTCACACTGAAGGCAGATTCAAACTCAGATAAAACTATATTTGTAATTCAAAAATTATATACCAGGAAAGCCAAAAGTATACTTTAAAAAAATTATGAATTTGTTTCCTATAAAACCCTTGATCTATTTTAATAGCAGGCTGTTACAATTTTTAATTAAGTATTAAAATATGAAATTGTGTCAAAACATTTACTCCAAATGAACTCTGAATTTTGTCAAAAATGGTATTTGAATTTCATGATGAAGTTAAAGGCTTCTTAATTATCCTGGGACATAAAACTATTCAATATAATTTAAGTGTTAAATATACTCTACTAAATTCTAATTAATCTCTGAAGATACTGATCTGTGTCTTGGGTCTGATAACTTTCTGGATGTGGAAACTTACAATCTATTTTTATTTCAGATTGCCAAATCCTATAAAAATGGATGTATCATTTTAAAAAGTAAATATCTTTTTTTAACCTTAAAAATAATTTTAAGCCTCAGAGACTTAGTGGCCAATTTTTAAAATAATTCTCAGGGCTGGGGATTTAGCTCAGTGGTTTTGCCACCTGCTGCGCAAGCGCAAGGACCTGAGTTTGATCCTCAGTACCAAAAAAAAAAAAAAAAGTAAAATAATTCTCAAAATATTAAATTATATTTGGGTTAGGTTGCCCAGTTCACTGTATTTAACTGAATTCTTTGATCATTTTTCTCTTCTAAACTGGTAAGGGACTTGTGAGAAAGAAGGGGGGTTCCCAGTATGTGAAAGTTAACACAGGGGTGCTGAAAGTAGGTTTAAAATTAATAGACTCTGGGGTCAGGGATTTAACTCAGTGACACTGTGCCTGTTTCGCAAGCACAAGGTCCTGAGTTCGATCCCTGGTACCAGAAAAAAAAAATTAATAGAATCTTTTTTTTTTTGGTACTAGGGATCGAACTCAGGTCCTTGCGCTTGCAAGGCAGGCAGCAGAACCACTGAGCTAAATCCCCGGCCCAATAGAATCTTCACATCTGTTGTTTTAGACATCTTTTATTTCCACTTGAATAAGATGAAAATATTTTTGTATTTGTATATTGTGTATTTTCCCAGTTATATTTTATTATATGTAATTCACAAAATTTCCAAAATAATATATGTCTTACATGCATCAACCAAAGAAATATTAAATCAGGCCTGACTGGGAAAAAACCAAAACAAAACGTGATTACACTATCTTCATGTACTTCAAAAATCACACAAGAGGGGGCCGGGGATTTAGCTCAGTGGTTCTGCCGCCTGCCTCCCAAGTGCAAGGTCCCAAGTTCAAACCCCCGTACCAAACCAAACCAAACCAAACCAAAATCCCATGAGAGCCGGGCATATGCCTATAGCCCCAGCACTCAGGAGGCCAGGGCAGGAGGATCCCAAGGGTAACTTAGCAAGACCCTGTCTCAAAATAAAAAAGGGGAAAAAATAAAAAAGGGATGGCCCTGGATTCAGTTCCCATCACTGCAAAACACAACAAACAAAATGTAAGTTAAAAATCTATACAAATAAAATTTTAGGGACTTGAAGCTATTTTGTATAACCCTGTTGATTGGCAGAGAGGTGGTCAAAGTTCAATAAAATAAAATAAAAACAGAGAAAGGAATCACTGTGAGATCCTTCTTACTGCTGGTCAGGGTACCATTTCCCCCAGCTTCTTGCTCAGCCATACAACTTTTACACACATGGTCTTATACTTTTCAACTGAGTTTTTATTGTTAGTTAAGTCATGATTCAGGGTCCTAGGGTAGGGACCATCATGTAGCCAGGTCCCCCTTTACCAATGAAAAGGACAGAGGACAGAGAAGCAGACGGATCCAGTTCAGATCTTGCCAGGAAATGTGCCTTCAACCCGGCGTTCGTCCCAGGTTGAGACCTGCAGAAAGACAGATGACATTACCCACCCCTCTGAGGGGGGACCAAGATGGGTGGGTGTCTTCATCTTCCTCACTATGCCCATCTGTGCATTTGGTCAACAAATAACCACAGGTGCCTGCTAGGTGCCAACCACTGTCCCAGCAGCCAAGGAATCAGGGGTGACTCAAGCCAGTACCGTTACTTTCAGGACAAAAGGAATAATAAGCAGCCATGAAAAAATATACAAGGCATGAATTGATCAACAAGATATGTAGTTAAGTGCAAAAGGGTGCCAAGCAGGGTTGATCACACATGTAGAGATAGCATAAAATGGGCTGGAAAGACCCATATCATTCCAATTTTAGTATATGTGCTGCCAAAGTGAGCATGAAAGACCCATATCAAATCATTAACATTCCCAAGAATTAGCATCCTTTTTGTGGACTTCCTTCTTTTTAAAAAATTTTTTCATTTTTTTTGGAGACAGTGTCTAAGTCACAAGTTGTCCAGGCTGGAGTTGAACTTGCAGTCCTCCTGCCTCAGGCTCCCAGAGTACTGGGATTAGAGGCATGTGCCACCACACCAGGCTGGGAAGTCCTTTTCTTTTTTTTGGTACTGGGGATCAAACTCAAGTCCTTGTGCTTTGGAGGCAGGCGGGGGCGGAACCACTGAGCTAAATGCCCAGCCCCGGGAAGTCCTTCTTTGAGTCTGTCCCTCAGCCTTTCCCTCCTGAGGGAAGTTTCTTCTTGAAGTCTGACCTTACAGGTATGGACCACCACACCTAGCTGGTGGACCTTCTCATAGGTAGTTATAAGCATATTCATTTTTATAGGCACATAAACACACCTTCCCACATTTACATGCTAGAAAAGCAGGGGCCATGGAGACTGACTGAATAACCCCAGAAGGTCCACCGCCTTCTGGCTGTGTGACCTCAGGCAAGTTACTCAACCTCTGTGCTTCCAATTCTGTAAAATGAAGACATTGATAGTATTATATATATACTTCATACAGTTGTTCTGGCATGTTTGACTTTATGTGGCACAAAGTATTAACAAAAGTACTTACAACGTAGCTGGTGTAAGGGGTCAGGAGTGTGCCAATTTACAGACACACACACACACACACACTCTATACTTCAAAAAAATATACAAATCGGTCATACTATATACATTGTTCTGAACAGGCTTTCCCATGTGCCTTAGAGATCTTCCTATATATTCTGTCACTTAGATTAACACAGTCTCCATAAAGGCTACGGACATAAACACATCACTATTTACCTAACTTTGGTTGTTTATGAATGATCCCCATTAGAAACAACTCTGCAGTGGGGATTTAGCTCAGTGACACCACACCTGCCTTGCAAGCTCAAGGTCAAGTTCAAATCCCTGGTACCAGAAAAAACAAAAACAAAAACAAAAAAACAACTCTGCAGCAGATATCCTTATATATAAAAAGATTTTTGTATGGTGCTTAGATGTGGAATTGTCAGGTCAGAGAACTATATATTTTTTTATTCTGAGAAGTACTGCCCAATTTGACCTGAAAAGTGACTGGATCAATTTATAGAACCAACGTCCTGGCAGAGAACCTATTCTGCCAACACTTGCCAATATCAACCTTTGTAATTTCTGTAGCACAGTAACAAGCACTTCTTTTTAAGTCTATATAGTCCAGGCTGGCTCAAACTTGTGATTCTCTTGCCTCAGCCTCTCAAGTGCTGGGATTACAAGTATGTTCCACCATGCCCAGCTTTTCTGTTGTTTTAAATTTTGTTTCCTTGATGACGTAATTGGGGATGAATATCTTCTCATATCTGGGGTTCATCTGAATCCCTCATACAGGACTCGTACTGTTTAGTCCATAGTTCTCGTTTAAAACATACAATTCTGGGGAATGAGGGACATTGAGATGTTGGTTTGATCTACTAACCTTTGCTTTAATAATCCCACTTCATGGAAAGGAAACTAATGAAATCATTCAAATCTAAGAAATAAATATTGAAAAAAGATGAAATACAGCTAATTGGACAGGGAATACTTTTTAACTATTAAGAGACTATGGCACAGGGGCCGGGGATTTAGCTCAGTGGTTCTGCTGCCTGCCCCGCAAGTGCAAGGACCCGAGTTTGATCCCTGGTACCAAAAAAAAAGAGACTATGACACAAGCCTGTAATCGTAACACTAGGATCCCATGTTTGAGCCCAGCATGGGCAACTTAGTGCAGCCCTGTCTCAAAATTAAAACAAACAAACAAACAAACAAAAAAACTAGGGACTGCCCCAAGACGATAGTTACCTAATAGTTGAGTAGCTTATATTGGCATGAACGCAAGTATACAATGGTGTTAGTAAAGAAAACAAAGTGCAAGATAGTATGTCAAGTATGACCTGTAAGTATATAAGAAGTATACAAACACACACACAGTAGCACATGGAAAAGGAGTGGGTGATTTCCACCTAATTACTAGGGGGTTCATAAAGGGGGTGACTAGGAGACTTTCACTTTCTATATATTACATAAATCTCTTTTATAAAAATTCTCCAAAAATATCCAGTGTAATTTTTATAGGCAAAGTATTTTTTAAATGGAAAAATAAAGGATGGCTGGAAAAATGATTTAAATGCTTACATTATAGGGACGGTGTACTCCACCCCTGACCTTTGCCCTCATATTAAATACATATACTTAGGTTGGAGGTTAATTTTTTTTTTTAATACACAAGAAAAACCTGAAAAATGCTATAATATCAGCCAGGACAGGAAAATAAGGAAAAATTTTCTGCTTCTTCCCTAGTTTATAAGATTCTGTGAAATGGTTGTATTACTTAAAAAAAAAAAAAATGTATTTTGGAATAAAGCTAGGGCTGCTGGGCATAAAGGGGCCTGTGCAGAGTATGAATTTATTTATGTATTTGTTTTTTTGGGGGTACTGGGGATTGAATTTGGGACCTTTCACTTTCGAGGCAGGCAGTGGCACCACTGACCTAAATCCCCGGCCCTGTTTGTTTGTTTTTTGAGACATGGTCTTGCTCTGTAATTCAGGCTGGCCTTGAGTTCATGGAGATCCTCCTGTCTCAGCCTCCCAAGTGTGGGGATTATAGGTGTGCGCCACCATACTTGGCTTAAACTGTGTCCATATCCAGGCTAACAGGGCAGAGAGAGCAGGTTACCTGATGCTCCCCAAGTCAAGGCAGGCCCAGGCCCTAGAGGCTGGGATGTGATGGTAGCAGGACAGAGAGCCTGCTTCCTGGTATCATGGACGAAATGTACATATGTAGACCCTGAGGCTGAATGAGGGATGTTATAGGATCACATTTTCTTATCCAACATCACCAGGGAGAAATTCTGGGGGTCCAGGATATTCAAAGATACCTGAGACAGTCTGGCTGGAGAGGGGAGAAGAAAACCAAGTGAGTTGAGGAAAAAACCATGCCCTTAAGGTATTTTGTTCTAGAGAAGTGAGCCCCAAAGCTGTACATACAGGATGCCTAAGATACTGAACAACTAGAACATAATATCCATCAAAAGGCGACCAGTGAAATAAAAGCACTTATAAATTATTCAAACAAGGCAGATCTTTATGTTGTCATTAAAAGAGGCTCCAAGACACACTAAGTAGAAGCAGTTCATAGAAAAGAATATATAGTATGAATCATTCATAAACAAAAAGTTCCACAGGCTATGGGATGAAGAGACAGAAGCAGCAGGGAGGGGAGGGGAGGGGAGGGGGACGTAAAAAGAATTAAGATGTGTTATGTACATGTACCCACTCCCCACAATGAATGTAATCATTATAAAAAATATTGCATAGGCTTATATATATTACATAGTCAGGTGCAGTGGTGCACATCTGTAATTCGAGTACTCTGGGATGCTGGCAGGAAGATTGCAAGTTTGAGTCCAGCCCAGTGAACTTAGTGAGACCCTGTCTCAAAATAAAAAATGATTTTTGTATTCATTTTCAGCAATTAAAAAAAAGTCTCAAACATCTTTCAATATATTTTATAGTAACGGAGTCCTCTGATTTAAAAGGGTAATGTTGAACATAAATCCTTTATATAAAAAGAGAAGGCATAATGATGAGTACTAAATACTGACAAAAGGTCTTGTTAGATCAGGGCAAAACGACTGTCTTGTGTGACCTCATTTTTTTGAGATACATTATTGATGTAGGTAGGGGTGGAATGACACGTCTGAGATCTGCTCTAGACCACTTAGGCAAAGGAAAGAAGCTGGGTGTGGTGGTGTATGCCTGTAATCTTAGCACTTGGGAGGCTGAGGCAGGAGGATCTCAAGTTCAAGGACAGCCTGGACTATATAATGAGACTTTATTGAAAAAAAAAGGGCTGGGCCGGGGATTTAGCTCAGTGGTTTCGTAGCCTGCTGCACAAGTGCAAGGACCTGAGTTCGATCCCCGGTCCCCCGCCCCCCCACAAAAAAGGGCCAGGTTTAATCCCCCTAACCCCTCAAGAATATATGAGGAAATGTGGAAAAAATCTTGATTACTATTCAGTTTGGATAATGGATGTATTTGGAGTCACCGAATTATTTTCTTTATGTATAATTTGAAAATAATCACAATAAAAAGGGCAGGATTATACAGGATACATTAACAGAGGGCATGAGTGAGGTAGATCCAGCCAGATGACCTTGGTCCCCTTGGCTGAAGGCCCTGACTTGTTGAGGGTCCAAAGGAGGGAGGTAATTCTAGGGGGAGAAGAGGCATGAGCCCCATGCAGAGTGACTCTTTTCCCTCTGCTCCACTAAGATGAACTCCCACCAATCACAACCCTCCGTCTGCGTCCCCACCCCAGTATCCCAAGGGCCCCGGCAGGAGGACATACCCAGGATATGGGGCACAGGGACTTGTATACTCGATGGTACCACTCGCACACAGAGACATCACCCCCTTTTGCGTTCATTGCCTTCTGGCAGCGGTGATAGTCTGTGAAGAAAAGGGGCCAGGGTCAGCTCAGAACAAAGGGCAGAACATACTTTTCATGAAAAGTCAAAACACTTTCTACTTCATGATTACACATACACGTGAACACAAGTTTGCAGGGGTACAAAAACAGTCTAGACACATCTCACTAAATAGATTCTGTAACCGGAAGAACTACTGTTCAGTTTGAAAATCCAGGGGTCAGGAATAATGGGAAGCAAGAGGGGCCTGTGTGGGGAATTTTTGAAGGTGGTCTTGATGCTAAGATGTGGAGTCCCAGAAAGGAAGGCAAAGGGGATAATCCGGTTTTTAAAAGTAGGCATCTCATTTAAAAAAAAAAATTACTCTAGGTATTCCAGTCTTGGGCAGATTCCCTAGAGAAATATATATATAAAATTACATTTATAAGAATGTTTAAACAGCACCATTCCTACAGGTGTCAAAATGGAAATCATACAAATGTTCACGAATCAAGTAAGGTGTGGAAAAATGAAAAAGAGCAAACTATATGACACACATAGATGAATTTGGAAAAAACTACTGAGTAAAAAAAAAAATCTAAACACCAAAGAATATATAACAGTATTTATAAAGTTCACAGAGGAAAACTAAAGTGCAAGGGAGAAAACTAAAACGTGATCACCTTAAATTGGTGGGTCATATCCTCTAGTGAGTTAGCACTTTCGCTTTAAGACAAGGTCTTGCTCTGTATTTCAGGGTGGCCTTGAACTCTCTGTGTAGCCCAGGCTGGCCTCAAACTCCCAGAGATCTTCCTGCCTCAGCCCCCCCGAGTGCTGGGATTACAGGCTTGTGTCACCACGCCCGGCTCTAGTAGGGAGAATAGTGTTGCGTTCCAGCCAGGGCACAAAATAAGTAGAGGTGATCAGTGTGCTGGCAATATCTATTTGTGTGTGGATAATGGTTGCACGGAAGCTTCACTTTAGGATTATTCATTTAGGCCCCTATCCTGAACAATGTTGGTGATGAGAAGCATGGGCCCTCCAGAGATAGGGTGTCAAGAATAAAAGGGAAAAGCCAGGACACTGGGTCTGTCCAGAGTGGGCAAGAGGTTAATGCCTTAAAGTGCAACACCAGAGGAAAGTCAGCAACCTCCACCACCATGCCTTGCTCACCCAGGTAGTTCTGCCAGCAGTTCCTGGTCTGGTTCTGATTGGGGAAGCGGCTGTCAAAAGGGGCAGTCTTGTAGTTCTTGATTTTGGTCTTGATGTCTTCTGCCATAGCGCTGATTCCTGGAGGCAAAGGGAGGGATGTTGGCAGGGAACCTGAGACAGGGAGGTCAGACCAACCAGGCCCAATGGAGGAAGCCCAGACACTGAAGAATGGGTTGTGCATGAATAGGCTACTACTTTCTCCCTCTTCACATACAGAGACAAAGGGAGGGGAAATGCATATACCTCTGGATGGAAATCATGGCAGGTTTCTGGGCAACTCCTTAGCAAAATCAAGCCTGGTCCCAACATACTACTAGCTAACACTCACAAAGTGCTTACTGCATGCCAGGTACTGACTGGTTTACACATCTGACTCCCACATCCACTATAAAAGTCAGTAACTAAAAAATAAAGAAATAAAATAAAAGAAAAGCCAGGAACTGTTCCTACCCCATTACCCATACCAGGAAGAGACAGGATGTCTAAGTGACTTCCTAAGGTCACACAGCACACAATCAGTGGGTTACTGTCATCACTGGCATAACCTACACTGGAAAGATTCTTAATCTTTTTTTGGGGGGGGAGTAATTGATAATTTTTGTAAAAATATTATTTACTTTTTTTTTGTACTGGAGATTGAACCCGGGTCCTTCCACTTGTGAGGATTCTTAATCTTTTTGCTGTCACAAACTTCTCAAGGGTCTGATGTATCCCATAAGCCTCTCTCTCAGAATATGTCTAAATGCATTTTAAAAACTGTATAGAATTACAAAAAAATCAGTTATATTTAGTTAATAGTTTATTAAGTACCACAATTTTAAGTAAGCATGAGTGAAAATGGTATTTTCTAATACTTGCAACTATAATGTGGCATATATCTGTGATTTTGATTGCTGATAAAGCCACAGCTGCTACTAATACTCCTGAAATTGCTGTCTCCATTCCTAACTGAAGGAAATGTTATATTTCAATCAGAAGCTAGTAAAAACACGGATGTGACCTTCTCCACCTCCACCACTCATCCAATTACTAGCATCCTTTGAAGTCTATTGACTCTGTGACCCAGGGTTGAAAACCTCTGATACACCTCTGAAGGGGTGATACAGTTTTCAGGAATATGAGAGGAAGTGCCTATACTCCAGAGAATCCGAGGAGCTACAGCGCCACACAGAGGTGCACAGGCCAGTGTTGAATCCTAGAGGCCCAAGGTAGTGGTGGACGTCTGGGGCACTAGAATACTCTTGGGGGAAAGGGTGCTGGGAGAAAGTGAGGCGGCAGGTTGTAAAATATCACCTGCTGAGACACGGTCCCAGCCGCTGGGGGCGTTTTGTGCAAGATCTTGACCTTATTATCTGTGGGTGAGGGTGGACCCAAAGATGATCCTGCGGCCCCTCCAACATCCAAGGGAGGAGGTAAGAGGCGCCAGGGGAGACAGGCTGAGGCCCAAACAAGCCGCGAAGCCCACCCCTATGGGCCTGGGGATTAAGTACTGCAGTCCCCTTACTGGGTCCAAATCTTGGTCGCTTGCGTAGCTCCTGCTAAGTCGCTTAACATCGCTGAGCCTGTTTGCTCGTTGTTAAACGAGGTAAATCACAGGCCCTATATCATGAGGCTGGAAGGAGCATTAAATAAGCTAATAGTTGCTTAGAATGTTGCCTGGTACTAAGGAAGAGCTATATATAGTAAACCTTAGCTATCACTATCAGCAGAAGAACGAAACGCCACCGACTCGGGAGGGCCGGTGCCGCTGCCGCCGGCCGGAAGCCTCAGCCCATTACCGGGGAAGCTGGGGTCTGGCTCCTCAGCCTGTTAGGCTGGGGTCTCTCACCTGAGAGACCCCATACTCACCTAAATACGACCCTGAAGCCCCAAGCAGCTCAATGTGACCCTCAGCGAAGACGCCGCTGTTACACAGGAAGCGGAACTAAGACCGACCGGAAGCTGTGTCTGCTGAGACAAGCGGGTCATCCAAGAGGCTAGAGCGGCCACAAGGAGGCGGTTTCCGAAGCCACGCCGGCCACGCCCACCCCAAAGAACTTTGACATTCTATTGGGCTGAATTCCTGTTCATCACCACAGGCCAGCCCAATCTGAGCTTTCGCTGTTTATGGAATTGTCTAAACTGGTACTCTGGCGGCTTGGTTGTAGGTTCTCATCTCGCTATTGTTTTGTTTGGTTACCAGGAAAAGTGGTTCTGCATCCTGGGACTGGCTGGAGAGTGGGCGTGGGGAAAATGTCTCAGCGAAAGTACTTTTATTCATGCAAGAAATATTTGTTGAACACTACCTGTGTCAAGCTCTGACAGAGAAAGTTGAGAAGACATCGATAAAGAAAATAGAAAAGTCCGTATCCTTGTAATTGTTACGGGATGAGCCTGGAGCGGTAACGCACGCCTGTAATACCAGCTACTGAGTAGGCTGAGACAGGATCACAAGGTCAGCCTGGAAGACTCAGCGAGACCCTATCAAAATAAAATTAAAAGGTTTCAGGCTGTAGCTCGGTGGTGGAGGGCTTGTGTAGCATGCGTGCGGCTGTGGGTTAAATCCCGATACTAAGAAAAATAAATCTTTATGGGGTCAGGGCTGGGGATTTAGCTCTGGTGCCGCCGGCCGCCTGCCTCACAAGCGCAAGGTCCCAAGTTGGATTCCCGGTACCAAAAGAAAAAAAATTTTTATGGGGTCAATCGTTAGGAGATTGAAAACGAACTATCTCACCCCTAGTGTCACTCGTTACAGTATGAGGAATGCTCTGCTCATTACCATCTTTCCTTAAACCTCAGAGGGTACAATTCAACAAATATGTGGGGAGCTGAGAGTGTTTTAAAAATCCTACATCACGGGGAGGAGAGATTAGAAGTTAAAAGTTGGGTCTCTGAAGGGTCTGGCTGAAATCGTCCCATCTGAGAAAATGGCACCTCTGTCAGAATTATTCTTGACTCTCTTTGCCTCACAGTCCATAGCTGATCTATCAATTCTTTTTTGGTTCTGCCTTAAAAATGTTCTCAGAACCTCCCTCTACTACATGTATCTACAGCCACCATCTCCTTCAGCCTGGACCTCTGGAATAGCCAATCCCTGACTCCTGGCTTCACCCCTGCCCTCCATAGTGTGTCCACTCAGCCAGAGGAATGCTTTTAACCCCTCAGCCAACTCACCTTCTTCCCTCAGCTCAGAGCAGTCCTTACGAATGATCCACACAGTGTGACCTCCCATACCTCCATCTCCTACCCTCTCATTCTTGGTCCCACTGCTCTGAGCATACTAGCCTCTTAGCAGCCCCTAAAATGTGCAGACTGGCTTCCTCTCCAGAGCCTCCACACTTGTGGTTCTCTTAGCTTGGAATCTTCTTTCTGTAGATGGCTCCCTTCTCACCTTCAGGTCTGTTCAGATGTCACTACCTGGGGGACCCTTTCTCAGACCAACTATTTAAAATTGCCTTAAGTTACTGTCTGTCCCCTTTCCCTACTTTATTTCTCTGTAGCACTAATATTCTCACTTTGTCTCCCTCAATAGAATAGAAGCATCATAAATGAGCAAGTTTTGCCTGGCAGTAGTGGCTTATCCCTGTAATTCTGGCTCCTTGGGAGGCTGGGGCAGAAGATGGCAAGTTTGGGCCCAGCTTGGGCAGCTCATTGAGATCCTGTCTCAAAAAGAGATGAGGATGTAGCTCAGTGGTAGAGTGCCTCTGGGTTCCATCTCTTGGGTCCCTTCCCTGCCAAGGAGTAAGAGCAATTTTGTGTGTGTGTGTGTGTGTGTGTGTGTGTGTGTGTGTGTGTGTGTG